GGCTGTGTTGGAGAACATCATATGCATGTACGTAATTAGTGGATTTGTTAGTTATTTCGACGCTTTAGGACAATACTTGACATTTACCACTTCAATAGTTCTTGTTGAAAATCAACAGTCAAAAGCATTGCTATTGATGCATAGAAATATTTCTGATCGATTGGTGATAAAATTATTGAAATTGGTCTAGGGGCAGCTGAGTAATTAACGTTCTAAATCTTTCATAATTTCGTTACGTGTTCCACTTTTGGTTTTCACAAAGTGTACACAAATTGCATACGTAGTCCTACGTCAAAACCATTTTTTCGGGATTGTTGTCCAGCATTCTTACAACGTGTCCCGCCCATTGTTCCCTTCCAGCTTTTGGGACTTTCTGGATAGTGTGTTCGCAATAAAGTTGCGCCAGCTCGTGATTCATTACTATGGTCACCAAAAAATGTTCCCTCGCGTTACGGAGTCACTTGTTCCCTATGCCACCCTGAGGCTCTGGTTCAAATTTGACCTATTTCTAAAGCGGGTTGAAGCTTGTGTGGGAAAAATCATCAAAGTGTATGGAAAAATACCATGGATTCAGAGATTCGCCACGTTGTAAACGTGCAAACACCATCAAATCTAAGATTCTCATAGGAAATGTTATGCCCAACAATTTTGTCGAGATTTGCAAAACCGAGTACTCGGCATTAAATTTTTCTGAGACCTTAGCAAACATGACGTTTGTTTGCTAAGATTCAGCAAAACATTAAAAAGGGTGACTGGTAATTCGTGTTACACCCGAAAGGAGGTGAAAGTAGACCACATTTCTAGCAAAAAATTGTATGGCAAGGTAGGTCGAAAAATCAATCCTTACCGAGTTATTGATCTATTTCTTTTACATTACCGAGCAACACTACCATTAATGTTGATTATGGATGAAAATTATGTACGTTTCTAATGGAAGCTACATGAAAATTATTTTCGGTGTAGCCAAGCAATGCTTACTTCCTGGTGGGCTTTGGTAATATTCGTGAGTGCCCAAGCAAAAAGTGGTAGTGTTGCTGGGCAATGTAAAATAAATAGATTAATAACTCGGTAAGGAATGATTTTTCGATCTGCCTTGCCATATTTTTTTTCCTTCTTCTTCTTTCCTTTATTTAACATCGGTCTCTGTTCCGCAATCTAGTGCCAATCACCGACGGACATCGATTGCCATCCATTGACGGCAATCGAATGTGCAGGAAGGCAGATTTCACACCTGCGTAGGATATCGCACCCATTCAATTCAACACACATGGGCCGGGACCAACGGTTTTACTTGCCTTCCGAAGGAAGACGTGACCAGAGATTTTTATGCCTCAGAAAAATCCCACCGACCTCGGCTGAGATTGAACCCAGACCCATAGGGGTGCGAAAGCAGTCACGCTTACCACTACACCACACCGACCAGCGCCGCGATATAATTTTTTACTGAAAATGTGGTGTACTTTCAACTCTTTTCGGGTGTAACACGAATTACCAGTCACCCAATATACGTCATACATAACAAACGTCACTCCTAAGATCTCGGCAAACATGTTTGCCGAGCTCGGCTGATCAAATCTGGGCAATTTTTAAAATAAACTTTCTATACTAAATGTGGATCAACTTTTAAACTTTTTCATATGTACAGAAAGTGAATCAATTTGAACGATGTTCGCTATGGACCACTTATCGTTCAATCCTTTTGTATGAAAATAAAGTGGAACATATTTTCTTTCAAATCGTGAAGATTTTGGAATGCCGATTTTAAGAATTTAATTCATTGTAACATGTACCCCGTTGATTTAAGCCGAAAGGAATTTAATTATGAACTTCTGTTCAACTAAATATTTATTTCAACAAATTAATTTTATTATTTTTAATTTACCCTGTAAGATGCTGTTGTATACCCCCCAATAATACTCGCGCAACATTTGAAACGTGCCTATCAACTTTTGTACACAAAACATGTTAAGCCCTTTTCGTGCGAACCGAATACACCCACGCAAACTAACAACATCATCGGGTAGAGGAAATTCTCCCCTTCCCGATAGTGCTCTTGGATTTGGTGGGCCTACTTCGGTTCTCGTGAAAAGGACCTAGGAAGTTGTTTACAAAAGTTGATAGGCTCTTTTCAGATGTTACGCGAACATCATTCATGTGTTCATTTTTAGTAAACAGGGCATCGCTGTTGTGCCATTTTTTTCAGTAGATGAACAAAAGATAACCCCTGCACTATTGAAACGCCATTGAAACGACAATGAATTCACTTCGGCCTATCGGATGAAGATAAAGATATTGATTCGGACGGAGCACTTCATTTGTTTTTGAGAATAGTTAGTGCAAACATTCAAATCACGCTTTCTTATTGACTTCGTTCTTAGGGGGTGACCCCGGCGTAGTGGTTAGCATCCATAACACTCACGCCAAAGTCACGAGTTCAAATCTCACCCCCGGACAAGTCACGAATAATAAAAAAATGTTCGGTAGCATTTGAACTAAAGTATCGTACCAAACGCATAGTTTACCTGTTAACGCCGAAATCATGGATTTATTTGATGTTTTCTGCTTGATAGGCCCAAAATGGGTGCTTAAGCCCAAGTAGTTCTCTACCCTACCTAGTTGTTCGATTTTTCGTTTCTCGCATGCAGTTGAAATGCGATGTTACGCGAAATTTTGCAGTCACACTGCAAGGTAAAACGAAGCTTATTTTGCTTCTCGAAAGATCGCTTCCTGCGCCGCATGTGGTTCACATTTTGTGGAATGGGTCCAGAATCGGAAATTTCCGATAGTGCCAAGCTGTGTTGTGCACATTTTGAATCAGTTGATATGGAAGTGTAACAAAATGTTGTACACCGGAAGTTCCAATCGATTTGTCTGAATGCCGTGATATTCAATCTAAGCTGATTCATTTCATATCATTTGAAAAACATGCAGAATTTGATAATTAAAAAATATGATTCAATAGCACATCTATGATGATGTAAGATTGTTAATAATTTTGTTTGTTCTGATTAGATAATTGATAATAACAAAATAAACAAAAACAGACAATACTTGTCTCATAATCATGAAGTCATTTCCGAGAAAAAAATTACGGTTGACTTTTCACTCAGATTTCAATACCTCATATCTGTTTCCTTCTTAAAATAACAGTAAAAACTGGATTGGTGTTGACAGTTAAGATTGGTTCGAAAATCATTACGTCTTTGCTAGACCAAGTTTAGCATTACTTTTTAAAGTTGTTTTCTACAAAATCGAACAAGCTCCCCTAAAATTGGAAAAGTGTTTTTTTTTTAAATTAGTGGAAATTGATTCCCGGGATGTCACTGGTATTTAAATAATAAAAGAATAATGTTTTTAAATCATGTAATTTTGACAAATCCTACACCATTCGGACTGCCTAACATTCCTTTTCCTTTTATTTTTAACGTCGGTCTCTGTTCCGCAATCTAGTGCCAATCACCGGCGGACATCGATTGCCATCCATTGACGGCAACCCAATGTGCAGGAAGGCAGCTTCCACACCTGCGTAGGATATCGCACCCATTCACAACACACATGGGCCGGGACCAACGGCTTTACTGCCCTTCCGAAGGAAGACGTTACCAGAGATTTTTATGCCTCAGAAAAATCCCACCGACCTCGGCTGGGGATTGAACCCAGACCCATTGGGGTGTTAGAAAGCAGTCACGCTTACCATTACACCAACGGCGCCGGCGAACTGCCTAACATGATTGGTGCTCATTTTCTAAGGCGGGGCCAATCTAAAGTTAGGTACTCTACTCTGAAATCTGTGAGAGGGAATCTATATAATGTAGACAAAACTTTTGTAACACTCATTGATTATTTCCTTGAGAAAAATCGTCCAATGCAACATGTCCGAAGCACAACTTGAATATTCAAAACGTTCTATGTGTTTTTTTTTCTATATTGTAGCAAATTGTGATTTTACCGTTTCTACTGAATTTTAACGTTATTGTTCACTTTGAAATAGTATTGCAAATTGTATTGTTTCTAAACAGTTAAAATAACAATCGGTCGAACTTCAACTTTGATTTTCTCAAAATGGTGTGAAATTACTCGCAGTCCGAACAGTAAACATTAGGCGCACTTTCTGTCACAAACTTAGCATTTTTTGCATAGCAACGCTTGGTGAAACGATCTATGACCTACGGATTTTTTCACACGAATAAAAGTGGACATCCTCGTGGGGATTCCCTTGTTACTTTAATAATAAGATCACTTTTTAAACATTTTTTAGTTGAAAAAACACAGTTATTTTTTGCATCAAGCATTACCTGGTTTGACACATTATTGATAAAGATCAAAGAAGTGTCCACTTTTTTCGTGAATAGATCTACGGATTGTTAACAACACTGATTTTCACAAAGTGATGCCTCCTTATTTTTGGTTGCCGAAAATAGTCACTACCTGCCGAAGCCGTCATTTACCCCAAAATATTTTAACATTTAATTTTGTTAGCCCTTCAGAAAGCAATGGGACCCGAGCAGGAGAAAATAACTAATGAATACCTTATTCTGATATGATACCAACATTTGGTATTTACTAGCATGACACAATAACAATAGCAAAGAATAATACCAAAAAATTACATGGAAAATACTTTGTAAATACCAAAAAATGATATTTGGATACCAAAAGAATACCTGGCTGGCATTTTTTTGGTATTGCATTATCATAATTTGGTATTGGAATGGTATTGTGGGAACATTTTTTTGGTATTATTTTTTGGTATTTTACCTCTTATGTCAGGCTCATCCATACCAATTTAAGGTATCGAGATATTCGTTCCTGCTCGGGGAATTACTGTCCCTGTCAAAATTTTGTTGGATTGACTTTATTGACAACGGTAACTAAGTATGTTCAAGAAAGTGGGCATGTTACTGTAGATATTTTGATGTTGATGGAGTAGGTTCAGGAATAGAATGTCATTTATTTATCATAGCTTTAATCAGCGCAAGTTTTTGGAATTTTCCCCACGACTACACAGATCCACAGCGACCTCCGCAAGGGCTCGGTGGAGCTACCGGTGGAGGAGGATAGCACGAACACGGCGGAGATGGAGCGACTACTCCTTGGCATGGGCATGGCAGGGGCTTTACCTGGCAAGGGCAGGGTGGTTTAGGTGTATTTTGTTGACATCCACATGGTGGTTTTACCGGAACAGAGTTGCACTTTTTGCATCCGCCTGACTGATCTTGATATGTCACATCATCGCACTTTGGAGTCGTCACCGGTGGCAGTATGTGGTGCTTTTCTTCTTTTTCTTTCGGTGGGCACTGGCATGGCTCGATGCAAAATCCTTTATTACGTACCAAGCCTGGTTTGCAGACACACGTGGGCTTTTGCACGTAAATTAGGGGACACTTAACGTTACTGCAGTCATCACAGCACGTTGGCTCACAACAAGGGGGACTATCGACCAACATTTCACCAGGTTGACAGCTCACTAAAAACAGACAAATGTGAGTCCATTGCGTTAGGTTTGATTATCGAGCTTTCAAAAAACTTACGTCTCCCCGGACACTTGGTCGGTTTGTCACAGTCGTGTTTATCGCCACCACATGGAGCTCTATACGGAGGACTTACTAAATAAACCTCGGATATAATACCGAAGAATAGCACTAGCGTAAACCAATTGGTCAGTTTAACCTTCATTGTTGAAATTTCACTAAAGAATAACGAAGAAAGCTGAAATTTTGTGGGATTTATGTACTGGCAGCAATATCATGTATGTTTACACGTTGGGCATGCCCCTTTCGGAGATAGCACATGTACGAGGAATTTTAGTAAATTTATTATCTGAATTATACTTGATTGGTTCATGTTACACAGAATAGTTTTTATGAATTTTTCTTTGACCAGCTTAAACGAATATGGATCACATTATTTTGAGAGTGTACTGGGATATTAATTATAAACAAGCATAGCAGTTGTTAATTTCCACTTATAGGTTTGTAAAATCACGCAGCAATACCTCTTCCTATTAAATATGGGAAGCAGAAACTACATACCCATGCGTACCTTGGCATAATTGCAGGAAGTCTTGCAGTTACCTGCATGAACGGCCGTGCAGTGAATGTAAACACGCATCTTACCGCTTGAGAATCAAAGTGAATATATAGAAGCTGTAGGTAAGACATCTAGTATCAAAACTTCTGCGAAAATGATTCTGAAACACGCTGCCACCGCTGCTTTAGCACTGATGTTGTGCTTCTGTTTTGCATCTACTGATGCTGGTAAGTACATTGCCGTGAAACATTCGTGATCGCACAACTTACAATTGATTTAAAAATCACAGGAAAATGCGGCAAGTTTGAAATGCTGATTCCTCATCAACCCGAGTGTGAGCGAACCTGCTTCAACCAATGTCCGCTACGTTCCAAGCGGCGAGTGCTAATTGCCAGGCCAACCTGTGTCTGTCTGCCAGGGTACGTCCGAAGGCATGGAGAGTGTGTTCCGCTAAGCTACTGTGAAATGCCCGAACCACCGTGCCCGCCAACCCCGTGCCCAACTACAACGACTCCGTGTCCGACCACCACAACTCCTTGTCCGACCACCACAACTCCTTGCCCGACCACCACAACTCCGTGCCCATGCGAAACTACCACAACGTGCAAACCTTGCAACAGCTGTGGATCACCCTGCAAGAAAAAATCAAGATGCTCATGCAATAGCTGCTCCAAAAGCCGACCAGTTATTGTCGACTACTTTTATTGAACAACTTGGATGCTGCGATTTCTTTTATTATTGAGGGTACATAGGGTTACGGTATGTAATGTGGGTCTAGTCCTTTCATTCGGCCTATCACGCAAATAAATAATTAATTAAGGAATATTACACAAAAAATAAGGAAAATATTGATCACTGATGATTGATAAATGTGTACCACACACAAATCAATTTATATCACAACATTTCAATACATTTTCAGCTCTCGTAAGTAATAAAACTGGTTGAGAATATCACTCTGTTCGGAGTTTTTAGCCGCCATGACTTCTAAGGTTAAGATGGGAAGGTTGCACTGACGATCATCAAATGGCCTGATTATGGCATTTATTGAATGGAATTACCTGATAATACACACTAGACGTAAAACTCACAGTTACTGTTTGAATATTTTATGTTTATTTTAATTGTTTAACAACGTTTTCACAAGTAAATCATGGACCCAACTTTAGGGACACATTTCTTTTCTATGTTCCTAACTTTGGCCCATGAAATTCATTTGACAGCATATAGCAATAAGAGTAACGTCAACAATGTGGTTTGCATTTGGATGATAAGGAACGAACAGGAAGGGAGATTTTTTCTGCCAAATCTGTATAATGAACATCACAATGTTTTGATTTAGATATTCTGCGGTCGAAAGACGATAAGCGAAATTTTTAATTTTTAATTTTTAACTTGAGTGATTTAATGTAGTTTTCGTAAAATTTTCTCTAAGAAATGTTTTGAGGAATGAAGAGTATTAAGTTAACAGTGATAGTGATAAAAAAAAATACATAAGAAAACGTTACCAAGAGCGTTTTTTTTGAGAATCAAACAGGATAGGACGAAGTTGCATCCATAAATAGACCCAATTTGGGGACAATAGACCGATATTACATACATTTCCCTGGTGAGTTTTTGTCTTAAAAAAGTAAGTTTTTCAACTTTTTGCGGTTCCTGATAGCAAACGACATGATAAGCATATCTAAGCATACCATTTAGCAGTAGAATATCGTTTGCAGGTAAATTAATTGATGAGTTATGATTAAAAACGTAATCTATGGCTGCATATTAGACCGAGGTTAGGGACGTATACCCTACTTAGTTTTTTCTACCGAGCTCGGCTGTGCAAATCTCGGCAAAAAAAGTTTCACTGAGATCTCAGCAAAAGTGACATTTGATTGCTGAGTCTCGGATAATGCCTTAGCTGAATCTCAGCAAACAAATGAAATGTTGCCGAGATTTGAACAGCCGAGCTTGGTGGAAAAATCTAAGTGTGTAGGATGGGGCAAGCCTGCCACCCTAATAATTTTGAAAACAAATAAATGTTGAACAAACGCATATATGAAACTGTAAACGGTGTTCTTATAAAAAATGTATCCGAAAAAAATACAATAAATAAATTTAAGTGTTTTGAAAACTGATTTTTTTTTTATTATTTGCATAATAAATTCAATATGAATTCATGAATTTCCCCATCATTTTTAGCTCAATTTCTAACAAATATCGATTGAAACATTAATAACAAAGAATCGATAAGAGCAAAGGAAATGGTGATTAGATGATTCACGGTGTGAATATGAAGAATCTTTATTACAAAAAAAAAAAGCATCGCAAAATCTTCCACCATTAGAAAATACAGCTAATATAAGACCACTTAAAAATAATCTAAGTACAATTCACTGAACTCAAGATTAATTGTAACTTATTAAACAACATAATTTACAGCTTAAAGTGTCCCTATGGAACATGGAGCAACTTTAGTGAGGTCAAATTGCCCACCGGAGATCCTGGATTTGGCCCAATTTGATTGAAAAAATCATGGTAATTTTCACCTAGGTTTGGTATAGTGATTTTATTAGTCGTACATCAATTCGAGAAAGGATCAAGTAGCACAGGACCACCGACTGGATCCCCGAGCAAAGCTGAAGATCAAATTGAAATCAAAATTTGCTGTTATGATGTAACTTATTTTGAATACTCTAGTTGATCTCATTTTGGTTGACTTAACGGTTAACACAGCAAAAATGAGAGCAAAATTTTACACTGTTGAAGCAAACGGAAAACTAATCCTGCTTTCAATGAAATCAATTTGATTACTTATTTTGCATTCATAATGTTTAACTGAATACGGGCCTGGCATAAATGGTTAGCATCCATGCTTATCACGCTGAAAGACTTAAAAGTTGAATAAGTCAAATCTCTCCCCGGGCAAGTCAGGAATGACCTAAAATGTTGTAAACAAAACAAATAAAAAAGAATCATTAGTTCAACAACAGATGAACTTAAATTAAATTTTAAACAAGACGTTAAGAGCAGAACTAAGTTGCTTTCATTTAAAAAGTTTTGACTGCATAATGAAATCACAATATGATATCAGACTTATGTCGCGACAATTGAAATCAAAATGAGTTTTCATTATGATAGAAACTGCAAACTTTAATATCGATTTGCTTTCATTTTGTTAACCGACTTTGCTCGGGTCCCGATCACGTCCATAATGGGGCTTTGTGAGTATATGAGGGTTTTATGTCTACCTAAATTATTCATTTTTGTTTTAATTCGTTTATTCGTCTGTCGTAGGAACTTTACGGAGCCGATAGTTTTTTTTTTCAAATATCACTTAAATATACGTCTCCAGGGATGAGACCGATTACTAAGGGTTCATTCGAGGTTAGACGGTTTATATTGTTCAGGATAAGATCAGGGTAGGAACTTTGAAATGGGGTTTCGTTGTCTTATCAGAGAATTATCGCCAGTAATTTTACGGATCTGATACAGATCCATATTTTGGATCCGACGTACACAGTTTGAAAAATTCATGTAAATTTCTGCGAGACATAGCGCACAAAAAATTAACGCAAGATTTGGCATAAATTTAGGCGATATTTCGTGTAAGACGCATTTTGCGCCAAATCGTATTCGGAGCTGGCAGCACCCTCTCAGATTTCAATAAAACTTTCTGGATGTGTGGACCTTGACTAAATAAGCCACTTCGCATAAATACATTTTTTTTCCAAAATTTATCTAGTCTAACCTTTGAGAAGGGCCAAACTTTTTTTTTGCCGATTTTTTTTTCAAAATTATTATGAAAAAATGACAACTCCTACAAAAATGTGTTGTATGGATGACTTTTAGGAAATTGTCCAAATTATCGAAAAAAAATACTGAAAAGAAGCGGGTATGGGATCAACGATGATTCAAAAAAATAGTTATATAATATATAGGTATAATGATACATGAAAAATCTTGTCTTTTTCTCTCACATATTATCAGATTTTGCCTCATTAGTAGACAACAGAATAAAGGAATGATATTTTTTGACAAGGTCTACATGTTCAGAAAGTTTTATTGAACTCTGAGAGGGTGCTGCCAATTCCGAATACGAGTTGGCGAGAAATGCATCATCAGCCCTTTTCATATGAAATTCTCGATTAATCAAAGTGAAATTAAGTGCTGATTAGAGTAAATTGAATCGCAAATTGAGCTTCATTGGATTCTGAGATGATTTTGAGCTTTACTGGTTTAGTTTTGTGTGAAAATGGTCTGTTAAAAAAAAATCAGTTCAGACATGAAAAAGTTTTTGAATGAAAAACTTTTTTTCTTCTTAAAAGTGTCCATCTCAGGATGTATGGACGGATGGCGGTTAACATAATTACCTATCTTGAGACAAAGTTTCATCCAAATCAAACATGGCCAAATATGGCCGACTTCAAATTTTAAAAATCGATTTTTTTTCAGTGTAGGTCTCAAATGGATTTTTTTTTCAGTATTATTTTTTTCAAAAACTTGGGAAATTTCCTAAAAGTCATCCATACAACACATTTTTGTAGGAGTTGTCATGTTTCCATAATATTTTTTTTGAAAAAAATCGGCTGAAAAAGTTTGGCCCTTCTCAAATGTTAGTCTAGGTAAGTTTTGGAAAAACCGAGTGTGCAAAAGTGCTTATTTGTTGAGTTCGTTCCTTTTTATTAATTTTTATCTTTTCAATCCAGTAACGCTGGTAGATAAAAAAAAATCGTGTTGCCTTACTGGAGTATGATTTTTCGCCGGGGCCTATTCCTGAACAGGAGAAAAGAACGCATTTTGAACGTTGTTATTTTTTGGTACCTTGTTAGTAGTGGCAAGTCTCGGGTAGTGACCGCTCCAGTTATGTATTTTTATATTGTGTATTTCATATCGAAAAAAACGTTGCGTGAAAGTGGAACTAAATTTAGGCCTAAGTGCTTTTTCGTAGCTTTTAGTCGTCGGATTCGAAAGATTTTCACTTGCAGTGGCTTGCTTACTGAGCAGAAAAACACGGTCCCAGGAATATCCATATTAAGGAGATTTATGGTCAAATCGCTTGTTTATCGTGCATTTTGCAAAACTTGTCGTTGTCGTCGTCGTTGGTTCCAGGTTTGAATGGTTATAACAACTCGAATAGCGGTATGATGAGATATGTAGGGCTCGGTGGCCTTAGAGTGACCGTTTTTGCTTACTGAACAGAACATCGTGAGTCTAATCTCAAACCCATCCACATTCTAGATTTGCCAATCGTTTTATTTGTTAATATGACAACATGGTAATAACAGCAACTCGATGATTAAAAGGATCTCGTTTGCCTAGTGTCGAACCTCTTAACGGAATCCCTTTATGAAGAGCTTTGAGTGGGTTGGTTCATTTCCTTTAAATTCCGTTATAATTGCTTATCGATTTACGGTTTAGAGACTTTGCAGTCAATTTTAATTGTTTATAGGAAAGTTTGAACATGCTGAGAGGTAAGCACATATCATCGGTAAGAGACGTGTGTGTGAGAAAATTTGCGAAAAAATCTAAGGGCACCGGTGGGATTCGAACCCACAATTCCCATTCAGTACACGGGTGCATTGCCAATTATACAATGGGAATTGTGGGTTCGAATCCCACCGGTGCCCTTAGATTTTTTCGCAAATTTTCTCACACACACGTCTCTTACCGATGATATGTGCTTACCTCTCAGTATGTTCAAACTTTCCTATAACTAATTGCTTATCTTTTGACAGATACGCGTATTTCGTCTACTACTTGCAGACTTCATCAGTGCCAAGCAGTGCTGTAAATTCTCAAAATCATTTGAACATTTTTGATGAAAATGAGAAAAGCAGCTATTCGCTATCAAAGGGGACCTCCTCCGAATGGGTGATATCAGTTGCTTAGTCTTTTGACGAAGGCATGGATCATTCTCATTTGAGAAACGCTATATAGCATTCAATTGAGTGTAACCTACACATAAACGGAGCTCTGGTCGACATTCCGGCGAAAAAGCTAAGCCAACCGGACACCAACCTGACTTCTACCAAACCCCAACCCGATGTTGACCCGAAATTGACCCGACATAAACCCAAAATTGACCCGACTACAACACGACATTGGGTCGACATCGACCTTAAATTAGCCTTACATTGATCCGACATCGGGTAGACTTGTCTGTTCGGGACCATTTTGCTGGATTTCATCCATACTCCACTGTCGTATATCAAATGATAGTGAGTGACTCAATTGACAGTGACTAAGAGCTTCGAATGAGAAAGGGGCTCTTCAAATTATGGTCATGTGAGAATTCGTTTCCACAGAATTGATTGAATGGTTGTATTGGTTCATCTTCAATCGAATGATATGAAAATTTACAGCACTGGTGCCAAGTACTCAACACCACGTGGCACTGATGAAGTCTGTAAGTAGTAGACGAAATACACGTATCTGTCAAAAGATAAGCAATTATAACGGAATTTAAAGGAAATGAACCAACCCACTCAAAGCTCTTCATAGTGGTCAACGTTTTTGCTTACTGAGCAGAAGACCGTGGGTTCAATCTCAAGCTCGTTCGCGTTACAAATATGATCGTTCAGACATCAATTCAGCTTATCGTTTACCAAAACAAATCCTGTTGCAAACCCAACCCTCTTACCCAACATCCCAGTGATTCCTTGTGGAAGTGCAGAGGTGTTCTCGGCTTCCATCAAAGCGAGTGTCACGTCAACACATTCCTACCCCTTCCTTTGTTGACCTGTGTTCGGACGCGGCCGGCGCTGGTATTGCCTAGATTGAGATCACCAGTTTTTACACATTGAGGATGATTGCTAGTCCCAAGCATCGTCTATTGGTTCTCTGTGTAATTACAGTTGATCTGGCAATAACAGAGTAGCTCATGTTCATGCTCAAATCTCATGCTTGGGGTTCTCATGCATTTTCACGCGCTCACACTCACCATGCCAAAATATAATTTCCCCTTATGCTCATAAAAACCGCTCAAACGTCCATCCGCTGTTGCAGAAACTCAGTAATTAAAATGTATAACGCTAAAATATAAAGCGATGAATTTCCGAACCTGATACTTATCGGTGATTTTTGCGCAGTTGAATTTTGGAAGGCAAAACTCACGCATATGATTTAATTTTTTCAGAACACTGGTTAGACAGGTGAATTGGCTTCTTGTTAACCATAAAAAAAGCTCCATTTTCGCAATGACCATTTAGAAACCATATTTTTGTTTTATTATTGTAAACTGAGATTCTATGGTTGATGAAAATAGGCCAAATAAAATAAATTCAATATGTAAAGCGTTTATTGTACAATACATTTAATATACATTCAATACAATAATATGTAACACTCCCATATTGATACACTGGACTGACTAATTAGGTTTTCTACGTTTTCTAATGCTCTTACGTTATTTCTACAATCATTTTCTAGGATTCAGATCTGGAGGAAAATGGAACAGAAAAATGCATCCTTGGTGTAAATATTGTTGCATTCTGGATCACTAACAAATAGATATTTTGTTAGAGGTACCATATCGTATGCAGAATTGAGATACGTACTCCTTATTCACACTTCACTTCAAATAAATTCAATAGGATTTTTATCAAAAACAAAATTATCAAACCGATGGAGCAAACAACAACAAACACATCACTAGCAACAGACCATCTAACTAACATTACTACGATGAAAATGAAGCGAAGGTTTAAAATACCTTAAAATATTCAAGAATACTTACGAGCTATTTAAGAATATTTAATAAATATCGGAACAAAAGGTTAGAGTGGGATGCCCCTTGGTGTGACTCATTTGTATCGTGGACACCGCTTATTTTCTAATACCCTTGTGATATAATGTTTAGTCATAGCATTCATCACAGCAGTCGCACTCTTCCGACGCTGATTCTACAAGCTCTAAATAATTATCATCATCATCATCATATTCCGGCGAATCATCCCCTTCAGCGAGAGGGCATTCTTCCTTCCGCACGCACTGTCCATTGTGCAGGACGTATCCGGAAGCACATACACAGCTCAACTCGGCAACACATATCGGTCTAGCACATCGGTCAGAACTGGTACAATCGTTGTCGCAAGTGGGAACACAGCATGGCCTGCAGAATACCAATTCTTGCGTTCGGTTACACTTTGGTGGTCTGGCCACGTAAGGTCTTGGAACAGTCTTGCTGCTGGATGAACCCTTTTTTGAATAAGGGGATCTAAAACTTTTTAGTTGTTCTTCTGATTTAGCTTCACATTTGCTTTGTGGAGGATATATAAATTCAGGTTCTTGTTCGTTTGGATGAGAATGTCGTGAAGATGCAACCGACAAGGATCCAAACCGTCGAGGTTGCTTGACTGATTCAAGTTTATAAAATTGACCTGGATATGCATCGGTGTTCAGAATATAGATCAATTGTTCGTTTTCTTGAGTCAAAATCTTCGGCTCCGGCAAGCCTCCAGCTTTGTGAGTAGATTTCAGCTTTTTCCGGAAAGGACCGCGGCTACGGCATGGTTCAGGAGCAACCGTTGGAGTTTCAGAGATGCAAGCAGTTGGTGGCGCCTCATCGCAGTCTTGAATATGGTGACAAAATTAACAACGACTAGTATGTTTTCAAATAGTGGGTACTTGCCTGTGACATTCTTTGGGCAACATATTTTCCGGATGCATCGACCCTTGTGACGGACAAAACCTGGAAGGCAAACGCACGTGGGTTCATTTTTGTATATTCCTCTGGAACTAGCACTCGCACAATCCTCAGTGCACGTTGGCTCACAACAGAGAGGCCTTGGACTCAACAGTTCATTTCTACCGCATGTATCTATGCAACAAAACAAAAAGTTTATAAATTAAATGATATTTGAATAAATATGATGCACTTACCACATTTGGCCGTATATGAGTTAATGATGACTAAAAAGTATATTAATGCAACGTCTAATTGGTGCGCGTTGAACCTCATTGTTAAACAACTAAGATATTGCGGGATACTAGGTGCGGTTTTTATAATTGATATATCCAATGTTTTTTTAGACGCGACTGTTAGCAGTAACTTTTGGACGCACGTACTTGTGGTTCCGCATAGGCGGAAGCTGATAAGTCTTGAAAACTGTTTTCGGTGATTATTTTGGCTTTCTAGTATATAGTACGTGTTGAGACTTCCAAAATAATGCCATTGAATTAATTATTCATAAGTTAAGCTACTCTTAACTTTAGGTTCATTTCAGTATCTACCAAGACAGAAACTAATTGAATCATTATATGTCAGTGGTGTTCATGCCCATTTTTTCAATAGCTGTATCTTTGTTCGGTGGTCATATTTTTAGTTGAATTTTGCGTATTTTCCAATCATTTTGGCCATACATTCATAATGCAAAAGAAATTCAAGCTGAGGTTGTTGCATCATAGAGATTCATGCAGCACGTGCGGCCCGCGAGCCGCACTTGAGCGGTTCCATATCATTAAAGCAACGAGTAATTTTCATCTTTTTTGATTTGCATGAAACCTTGCATACAAGTTTTTGTGGAAGAAAAACGCCGTTTTGCATACTTGGTTCGCCATTTTGAACCTAGCCTTACTTATGAAAAGGGCCTATGAAAAATGCACATGATATCTTCAAAAAATTGTATCTCGGAAACGGTTTGTCCGATTGGTTTGGTGTCTTGGGCAAAGTTTTAGACAATTGTTGGTGTTATATGGAGAAAATATGCACGGTAAAAAAAAAAAGTTTGGTATTTGTGTTTTGAACTAAAATATAAATTTTCCCTTTAAAGTGACATGTCAATAATTTTTTTATTATCCTTATGTTATAGCTGACTTAAAATGCTATCTAGTGCACAGTAGGTTGTTCTGGAGAAAAATAGGTTACGATGAAAAAAATTATTTTTTAAAAAAATACAATTTTCAAAAAAGCTATTAAGAAAAGTCAAAAAAAGTTTGTCACCCTAATTTTATAAAAGTACATCAAATTTGCAAACAAAAAGTACTTCGGTAACATTTTTCTAAGATGCACCGTTTAGAAAATATTACTGATTTAATATTGTTTTTTTTTTATAACTTAATAAGTTTTGGCCCTTTTCGGATGTACTCCGTGTTTTTCCAGTTTCAAAAGTATTTTTTCGGAAAGATTGGAAAATTTTGAGTTAAAATGACACTGACAGCTTAAAGATTCGAGTGAAATTCTCTGCCTTAAAAGTATTTTGAAAAACAAGTTACAAAATCCCACTATCAGGAACAATGATTTCTTCAAGTGATTTTTGGTGCGTTGTGCTGAAAATGTGCATTCAACTCTTGCATATCGCCTAACAGTTTAATCCATTTAAACTGGATGTGTTTATACTGTGCATATTTTCTCTCTATTGCCGAACATCGCCACAGACATCAAACCGATGAGACAACTCGATTTCGAAATACACCTTTTTGAGAACTGCAAATGTAAGCTCCTCAATTAGCAAGATTCAAAAGAGCGAATTAAGCTTATTTTTCAGGGATGGTGATTGTGCGCAATAAAAAATAACATTATATGTTGGATATCATCAGTTTATTTTTATTCCTGTATTTTTATAAAATTATTGTTTACACAACTTTCTTAACAATATTGAATATTTTGGCATCATTGTCAGGACAGTTTGAATAAAGCTTTGCCTTTATTGTATTTTCTGATAGAGGAAGAAATGAGTGGAATTTTAGAGTTCCTTGAATTGTTTTTGCATTATTATATTGATTATTTAGCTGCAAAGACATATTTTCGTATTCTTCTGTAGTAGAATAACAAAATGACAACTTTGTAAGTTCTTCTTCTTTTCGTTTGTTTGCCCAATTAAACAACTCTCTTGCAGTCTTTATCGGGTGTTCGCGTTCTTTGGCTAAACTTGCTCTGGTAGCCATGCGTTTTATCGTACCTCCAATAGCATCGCATGGACCTTTGGCGTGCGATGTTGCGAAGAAATGCCATTCAGCGTCAATACCATACTTTGACTTAAATTTACAAAGGCTAGAAAAGTTTTTTCGGTTTTTATACTGTGAAGCAGCACCATCTGACATAAAATAAATTTTTTTTATGTTTTTATTTTGATCAATTTGTAAAAAGTTTATCATTTTATCAATAAACAAATTGACAGCGACTGAATCATGTTTTAGTTCTTCAGAAATTATAATGAAGCTAAAATGTTTAATTTGCATATTTTCAGTATAATATATTACGAAAGGATGGATTGTGGCCTGTTGCACGTTCCAATGGTGTGATTGAACTTCATCCTGCAAAACGAAGCTGTAATTTTCAGAAAAGTCACAAATAGCTAAAAGCTTTCCTTTCTTGCATCTGATGCCATATTTCTACTGGTTTTAAATTCGTCTACAATTTTTTGTACTGACCATGATTTTGGCAACAATGATAAAATTGATAGTTTTTCTTGCCTTGTGGCTGAATTTAAAAATTTAATTTTCATATTTTCTATGACTTCATCAAACTCGTTTGCTTTTTCTGCTTTAGCGTCTAATTTAAAAAGATTTCTTCGTACACCTTCGACGATTTCAGCGCACTTTTTTCAGGATAGTGAACATTTTTAACCTTACCTAAATCTATAGGCGAAACACGAATAGCTGCTATTCCTCGGTTGAATATTTCGACGTCTACAGGCATCGTGAAGTCTTCATTTGATTTAATTGTGCTTAGCGTTGACTCTGATGGTATCGTGACCAAACTTTCATAGCTTTGCGAATCAGGTACATCAGGTATGGTCTGAACAGTTGGCATCCTTGAGCCGCCGGCTACGCTTTGTTCCCCGTTTTGGGTGAGGTGAGCTCTTGAATCAATATGTAGACGGCAAGACGAACAAACACGAAAATCCTTGGTGTTCAGTGTGGATACCTTGGAAAATCCAATTGATTTTAGTTTTTGGATGATACCATCCGTGAGATATCGCAGCCTTTCGAACACTGAATGTCTTTGAATGGGCGAATACATCTTATTTTACTCATTTTGTAATCTGAAACATAGAAAATATTTTCCAATTGTTAGTTTTGTACGACAATATCACAAAACATATAATTAAAATGTGTATTTAAAACTTACCTTTGCACCAAAACGTGTTACACTTTCCTTTACAATTATTATGTTATCAAACAACACTGGATCTCGTTCAAAAACACAGGATTATGAGCTGAAATTACTATAATCACTATGCTACTAGCAACCTTTCTGCATTTACTGTTTGGTTTTCCCTAGTAGATACTGGATGAATTCAGAACCGAGTCAGACATTATTATACAGCTCACGTGTAGAAATCATAGAATGCTGGGTAAAGACTGTTGGAAGATAGGTAGAGTTGAACGCTCAGGTATCGTCGAACCTTCAGGTACGAGTTTGGAGAGTTGGAGTGAGGTAGATTTGCTGGCGTAGGTATATTGTTATCGAAGAAGATTGTAAATTGTATATACCTGGAATGAATAAAGAGTGCGGCGGTTGTTGATTGAGGTATCAGTCGGCAGCCCTCTAGTTTGATGGAAGGTGACTACTGCGTTCTTTTTATTTATTATTAAGGAACGGTCAACGACGGAGCTAGCCTCGTTATGGCCAGCGTGGCCATGGTGGACTAGTTCCAGCAAAGACCATGTTTACAATCACCAACTGTACGTAGTACAGCTAACTGGGGTCTGATTACCTGTATCTAATACTTCCGGAGTGATTTGAGATTTGGGCGTAATTGTATTTGTAAACAAACAGGTCAATCACCGATTTCTCGTGAATAAAAGCTCAATCTTATAAACAAACTATATCAAATGATAGAGGAATCATACCTCTACCGCATAGTGTTATTAGTTTTCAAAATTGAGCCTTTATTCGCGAAAAATCGGCGATTGACGTGTTTGTTTACAAATACAATTACGCCCAAATCTCAAATCACTTCGGACTTGTTAGCACGTTTTCAGCACAACGTACCAAAAATCATTTGAAGAAATCATTGTTCCTGATAGTGTGATTTTGTAACTTGTTTTTCAAAATACTTTTAAGGCAGAGAATTTCACTCGAATCTTTAAGCTGTCAGTGTCATTTTAACTCCAAATTTTCCAATCTTTCCGAAAAAAATACTTTTGAAACTGAAAAAACACGGAGTACATCCGAAAAGGGCCAAAACTTATTAAGTTATCAAAAAAAAAAAACAATATTAAATCAGTAATATTTTCTAAACGGTGTATCTTAGAAAAATGTTACCGAAGTACTTTTTGTTTGCAAATTTGATGTACTTTTATAAAATTAGGGTGACAAACTTTTTTGACTTTTTTTAATAGCTTTTTTGAAAATTGTATTTTTTTTAAAAACAATTTTTTTCATCGTAACCTATTTTTCTCCAGAACAACCTACTGTGCACTAGATAGCATTTTAAGTCAGCTATAACATAAGGATAATAAAAAAATTATTGACATGTCACTTTAAAGGGAAAAATTATATTTTAGTTCAAAACACAAATACCAAACTTTTTTTTTTACCGTGCATATTTTCTCCATATAACACCAACAATTGTCTAAAACTTCGCTCAAGACATCAAACCAATCGGACAAACCGTTTCCGAGATACAATTTTTTGAAGATATCATGTGCATTTTTCATAGGCCCTTCTCATAAGTAAGGCTAGATTCAAAATGGCGAACCAAGTATGCAAAACGGCGTTTTTCTTCCCCAAAAACTTGTATGCAAGGTTTCATGCAAATCAAAAAATACAAAAAATAAAAACTGGAAAAATTTCCCACTTGTTCGTGGAACCGCTCACTTTGGCCGACACTTTTTTTTTTTTTTGTTTATTAATTTATTTGATAAGGCTCAACCGAATTAACTTTACAGAGCCGAGGATTCTTGGTCACTATACAATACATCTTAAAACTATAGTCAAAAGGTACAACACAATAAACACTTTATCTTCCGCTATCCAAAAAGCCTCCTCCATCAGAACTGGAGCCGCTTCCA